GCTGGAAGATGGCAGGAGGGAGGGGCTACTGTATTTGGGTAAAAATGGCCGCTCCCAGACAAAAATTATTGTTTTTATCTTTTTACTGATTAAAGCTAAATTCATTAAATCACGGTGAACATATTAGTTTTAGGTATAAATAATGTTCCATCTGAAAGTATCATCACATTTATCAGACATTTTTGCTCTCAGACCTCCAGGATTATCGGTTTGGGTGCCGATGACCGCCCGGTAACCGGTTCACTCTTCTTTCCTTTCCCTCGCTGCAAAAATGATCTAAAAATGAGTAAAAATGTTAAATTGATTTTATTTACCTTAATGAGCAGGTAAATAACATCACCTGCCAATGGAATGAGCATTTTTACTCTTAAAATAACAATAAAATAACATAATTAGATATTATGCACTTAAAAGAAAAGACTAAAGTTGTTTTTTCTTATTTTACATGTAAATTGCCCTGTTCCATTGGCAGAGTGTATCACTTACCAGCTTAATTCAAGAAAAGATGCTCTTGTTCTTAGAAAATTTGACATAGATTTATTTTTTTGCAGCACTCTGGTGAGATTTCTGGCCTTGGCACCAGGAAGCAGAGTCAGTCTGTAACAATCTTTACTGGGATGGAAAAAACCTGAAGCTTTGATCAGAAAATGTTTACTAAGCAGAAATTAAACCAAACAGTCTGTCTGCTCTTTAAATATGGTAATCTGACTAAAAAAATGCTTAAATATAAATGCAGCTCTAACTTAGGATAGTATCACAACCTGATCAGGTGTGAAAACAACTAACCTGAACCCTTTTCAGGAATATTTTGTTCCAATAATTTCAATAAAGTTACATTTATTTTCTGAATGACAGAATGGAGAAACTGCTGTGAAATTTAAAATTAACAAAAAACATTTGTAAACTGTAAAAAGATTTGAAAGAGAATGGGAAAAAAAACTAAAGAATATTTCTGAAACAAAGAAAATTTAAAACAATAAAACTGAAAACAAATTTTGAAACGTGAAAAAAACTGATTTAGGACCCAAAAGAAATAAAAAAACAACAACCTTGAAATATTTATTGCTATAATGCTGTGAGTATAACAATAAGTATCTGTCCTCCTCCTCAGACACGCAGCAGTTTGAAACTGACAAAAGAATAATAATCTGAAACTAAAAAAACATTTATTTTCAGTTTAAAATCTGTTTTTGTTTCAGTTTTCTTTTTTGTTTTAAAACTTTTTTGCTCCATTTGAGCAAAAATCTCATGAGTTTATTATGAGAAAATCAGACAGCTTATCTCATAATTATGAGATCCTATCTTGTAAATATGAGATAAACTGTCTCATTTACGCTTCCGTAAGTTTCAAAATAATTTTTCAGTAAAAACATTACAAGGCTTATTGTCCCTTTTTTAGCTCCATACATAGCTGGTTCTGCAAAGCCTGCATTCAGAGGTGGATATAAGAGCAAGGAGAGTTTTATTTTTAGCCTTTTACAGTTATTCAGTAAATGTGTTGATCTTAACAGAAACAGATGGGGGTTAGAAGGGGACATAATGTGGAAATACGTTTAGGATTAATCATAAATACTGATAGAAAAATACTCCTCAGATAGCCTGAGTGGTGTCCTCACAGAGTCCAGCAGATTCTGTTCATTCTCTGTCAGCATCTGTGGCTCGCTTCCTCGCCGCCTCCTGTGTCCACCCCTTCCTCCTCCTTAGATCCTCCGTGTTCCTCCTCTTTCATCGACTCCTCCTGCTCTGGATTCACAGGATGAACCAAAACAGAAGCAGGAACCTCTTTGTCAGCTGAGCTAGGAGTCTCTGCTTCTTCCTCCATCTTCCAGTCTGCGGGGGACTCTGGTCCCCGCCTTGTCTCCGTCTCGCCGCCCGTTAATGACCTTCCTGATGGTAAACCCTTCCTCTCACTCGAATCAACCTCCCCCCCCTCGCTTGGTACTTGCTCCTCCATCATCGTCGTGGTCTCCTTCGACAGACCGAGATCTTCTCCTCCATTTAAAACATCCTCCTGTTGCAGCTCCAGAACCTCCTCCATCTTTGCTGGGGCTTTGGTTTCTGGATGTCCGCTCTCAGGACTTGGACCTGTGTGATGACTGAGCTCCATCAGTCGTCCTTGTTCCGGATGGAGCCGCTGACCTCCGTGAGGGTTCTGCTCTGCTGTGGGTGCTGCTGCCGCCGCCTCTTTGGCCTGGCGGATGCAGTTGATCCACTGCTGCTTGTTGAAGGCGTCGCTGGCTTGGAAGCAGTGCGTCTGCAGCTGGCTTCCTGAGCGGTACGAAACCCGGAAGAAGTTTTTGGCTGTGTGGAGAAGAAATTACAAAAATGAATCAATAAAAACATTTGAAATAAGAAAGATTTTAAGCAGTATAAACAAAGAAAAGGTGACTTCTAACAGGCATTTAAACAGCTAATAACCCAACCCTTTCTGGGTGGTCCTGTAACCTCCACCATGCAACTCTGTGGAATATTTAGCAGCATGTTCTGATCGCTTTTGCACCCTGATGCTCTATCTCTCCGGTTGTTTTCCCTGAAAATAGATCACTGCGGACAAACTCATTGAATAACACTTAATTGCTTATATGTATTAAATAACCAGGAGACATGACAACAGATTCTGATAGAAATTATAATCTTACTCAGATCAGAGAAGTTGCTTAGAGTTACAGAAGGCAGCTGCTTACCAAACAGGAAGTGGCCTTGATTAACAGTTAAAAAGGCATTTTATTCATCTCCTGTCTGCTACATCATCTTATTTTACATCATGCATGTTAGCAGATGAGGAGGCATCCATGGCTGCAGCCTTATCAAAATATTACACTTTGTTCCTCACTGAAGGAAACCGCTCTCATTTCATATATAAATCTCTGCCACGTACAGAATGAAGATTATAGCTGTATATCCAGACAGAGGAACTGTCCCAACTAGACAAACTATTGTGGAAAACATCAGTTCTGACGCGTAACAGGCAGTTAATACCAAACTCACACATCATCAATGGTAATTATCCTAACGATTCCCCCTGAAAAGGTGACGTTTTCAATGTATCTAAACCAAGCAACTGGTTTAGATACGTGGATGACACATTCGTCAAAATCCAGCTGAAAGAAGTGGAAGTTTTTACAAGACACATCAACGCTGTGGACCCCAACATCAAGTTCACCAGAGAAGATGCCAACGACAACAAACTACCTTTCCTGGGCGGTTTAGTGAGCATGGAAGGAGATGGAACCCTCAACATTGAAGTCTATAGGAAACCTGCTCACACAGACCAGTATCTACTTTCTGACTCACACCACCCACTGGAACACATTACTGGCTGATTCTTCACCACATAGTGCATGACGCCCGTTAGGTGGCACGAGCTGCAATATCCAGCACATTGTGACGTATATATATGATAGACATAGACTGATAATGTATGACTAAAACACGTTTTTAGTTCGCGGGACTGCCGCTTATCACCGCTCCCACCCGCTCCCGTACTCTCCGCTCTCCCTCCCGCACGCACCCGCAATTAGCTTTCAATATCTGTCCAGCACCGCACTGCTTTGCGTTGGGTCCCGCGGGAGTGCAGGGCTCTACTGCCTAGTTCTGCCTAATGGTAAATCCACCCTGTCTAGGCATCTAAGGGGAATGGTGAATTGGAAAAAAGAGCTAAACTACTTCTGGAAAGGGCAAACTTGGATTGACCATTCTGATTCTGTCTGTCTGGCCTTGTCAGCCTAAGGGTCAGGCTATTGGTTGGGTTCCACTAACATCTGTGCATCACTGACTTCGCTCATTGTTGCTGAAGGCCCCTCTGATGGACCCGCCCACTCTCATCTCGCCGTCCGATATGTCCTCCAGGTCGAGCTGCTGAATGGGGATGGGTTGGCGGCAGAGCTGGTAGCTCACTGGCTGGTTGTTCAGTGACATCGACCTGGTGATGACCAAAATATCCTGGAACAGAAATACGTGGAGTTTCTGCAAAAAAGGACAAAGGAAGGGAGAATAAAAACAGATCTGATAGAATCCACGGTTTCTGTTCATTTTATGCTTGTTTGTTCCTTAAAATAACAGCTTTATTCTGGTGAAGATTCTCAGTCATCCAGGTCATAGTCATTCCAAAAAAGGAAAATTAAAAACAATCCACTGGTCTCAAGTTGTTTGTTTTTTTATTTTCTTTTTTTTTTTGGAATAACAGCTTTATTCTCCACTACTGAAATGATAAAAGTGTACAGATCCACAGTTTGAGGGGAGAGGTTGAGTGAATGAAGGGGTAGAAATGAGGTGGGGAAGGATGAAGGAAACGAGAGCAGCACTAACGAGTCCTCTGTTGTTCTTCAGCTCTCCATGGCAGCTGAGGCACTTGGAGCGATCGATGAGTTCGTCCCTCTGTCCGTCCTCTGAATACAGCAGGCAGTCCTTGTAGTACTGACACTCAGACTCTCCGGTCTGCCGGTTGATATCTGCCACCACGGTCTGGACCATCAGCATCTGCACAGCCAAACACATAACCCCCCGATTAGGCCACAGCTAGTCGGCTAATTCCTCTAAATCTGCTGCACACTAAAACTTAGGCTGTGTCTGAACGTCCGCCCTAACCCCTATCCCTCTATATAGTGAGCTCAGTTAACTGACCTTTTGGACAGATGGTCACTACTTTTTGTTCCCCAGTAGTCATGTAACTCCTCCTCTACACATGGTTATTCATCACCACCACAACAAATCCCATGATGCTTTGCGAGGAGAGCTCTCACGAAGCATTCTGCTCATCTAAGCTGTGTCTGAACATCCGTGCTAATCACTACATAGGGCACTATATAGTTATCACGCCATTTTAAATGATTGTCCGAACATCTAGTGGATGAAAAAGTAGTGGACTCAAAATTTCCCACAATGCACCTTGATAAGTATTGTCTAATTGTGCATTTTCTAACTTTAAGGTAAAACTAGTATTTGAATCATGTATGGGATAAATGAATAAATGCACTTCTTAGATAACATTTCATTATTTATAAGTGTATATTTAACTATTAAATGGGATATTTGATTATTTTGTTTTTCATAATTTTATCGATGTTTAATATTTGATATTTAAATACACATCAAATATTGAATGTGTATTTAATCTATAATCAAAAATTAATTTTTAATAACTTAATACAACTTTGATTACATTATTTAAATATGTATTAAATATCTGAATCAAGTTCTAGATAAATGAAAGAATGCATAAAAATGATTGAATTTTAATTTATTTATTTATCTATTAAATTTCTTTTTTAAATTACTTAATGAGGCATGTAATTATTAAATTGTGGATTTTATAATTTTATAGTATATTTAATGTTGAAATGATGTTTTAGATAAATGAATATATGTTCTTATTCCAGCTCCACATAGCCTTCCATTAGAGACAGAAAACAATCAGCTGCCAGTAAAATAAATAGAAAATAACTAATTTAAAAATAAATTTGAATTATTTTATACAATGGAAATCATTAAATTCATTTTGAAAAAATCTATATTTAAATACGAGAAAAACAGACACTCTGAGGCATTAATCAGTGAAAACCGATGTTTTCTATAATGTTCAGTCACTTGCTGACAGGTACGTTCATGTCAACAGTGAACCTAGATTCTCTTTTGTTTTGTTTTTTAGAATTATTTTAAAAATAAAAATTAAAAATCAATATTTTACTTTACTAAATTAACATTTAGTGATTTTTTTAAATTCATGATTACTTTTCGAGTTCTGTGTTATTTGCATTACATGTGCATTTATCATTGTGTTTTTAATGTTATGGTCTTTTAACCTTGTTTTAATTTTCTTTTTTTTTTAAATGTAGCACTTTGAGATTTCATTTCAAATGTAAAGTGCGTTACAAATAAAATTCATTATTATTATTATTATTATTATTATTATTATTATTATTATTATTATTATTATTATTATTATTATTATTATTATTATTATTATTATTATTATTATTATTATTATTATTATTATGTGTAAAGTTGAAGCACGACAGTGTATTCATTCCATGGGACGTTCACATACTTCGGCATATTTTTTGGGGCTGACATCACAATGACGCAACAAGGAAGGGTAGAAAATGTGAGCGTTCATGTCAGCATTCAAAGGTTTAAACGGTTAGAGCAGCTGCAGCGACTCTGGGAGTAAAGAATCAGGCAAATTAGCTCCAAAGTCAGAGCCTGAAGTGCTCAGAAAAATAGAAAACCCAAAAGCGCCAAAAAGCGGGTAAATGTTAAAATCACAATGTCAGGACACTACAGTAAAGGGTCTGAACATTTAGATTTCTCTTATTTCATATATAAATTTATCCTATTTATTCACTATAAACGTTTTTACTCAGCCTGTTTCACCTGCAAGGCCACAAAATTCCCCAGTGTGAGGATGTTTTTAGAGAAGCCATAGCTTCTTCCCATAACAAACCAGATTCTTTCTCAGGTTTATTCATAACGTGTTACTGTTTAACCAAAGTGTCTGTAATTAGTTTTGAATCTGACTACTTCCCATTGTTCAGAAATGGGCTGATTACCGTGCAAAAAGGTTAATATGATGAACTGTTCTCTCTTTGCAAAGATAAAAATAAAGTACAGACTGAGTGAAATCCATCTATCTCTGTTTATTTAACTGGAGCAAATGGTTGAATACTTTTTCCCTCTACAAATTGCTGTTGTTAAAGCAGGATTCTCCTTGACTGATTTTTTTCTGAGGACAGCGATTGTCAGAAGGATCAGGTACCACCTGGAGGAAGCAGTCTTCCAGCCTCAATACCTCTTTTAAAAGTATACATTTATATACATGTTTAAGCCAGAATGATTTAACGTTTAAATATGATTTCGCTAAGACTGTAAAGATGATTAGAAATCAAATTCTGGAAAACTAGCTCAAATAAACTCCTCTTCTTTGCCATAAAATAAATACATATACTCTATTTAGCAACAAAAAAAACTAAATTAAAGGTTAACAGTTGAATCATTTTTAAAGCACTAAAATATTAGTGTAATACTAAAGAAACTACCTACATAGCATACATATACATACATACATGATAAAAGATAACTTTTCTTTTGGGGAGAGGAGTGACAATTTGGGTTTTTTCACCTGAGAACCAAAAGACAGCAAAGCCTCTTTTTCCTCTGTTTCATACAGAATATAGCAGCAGCAGCTCAGTTTAGGTTTGCTCTGTAATGCAAAGTGGTGGCAGAATGATGGTTGTTGTGCAGCTACAGGGAACCTCGTAGTCTGGGAGTCCATCCTGAGGTCAGAGGTGAAGCTTGGAAAATGTTGGGTATGGAGAGCAAAAAAGCAATGTTTGATTCAAAGAAGGACAAATGGAACAGAGGTTTCTCTCTCTGGTCTCCCAGGAGTGGTCATTAAGGGGATATAAACCTTGTTCCATCTTTTCAGCATATGAGACTAATAGAACATCCTCCAATCCTCCACAGACGTTTCTATAAATATCTCAGGATTGGTCATTTTGTAGAGTCTCTCCTGGGGACGGGAAGGAAACTGTCAGGGTTACAGGTCTCCTAAAGGACTGATTTCCAGGACTTTTGTCAGGTTTTGACTTTCTGAAACTGTTGTGGGAGTTTAAACAGGAGGCAACCTCTGTTCTGAATGGAAAATACATAAAGGTACATTATTATTTTATCACTGCTGCACTTTAAAAATGGAAATGTCTTGAGAGCTGTACTGAACAAAATTTCTTTTTGTATGCACTCAGTGTGTACAAAACGAAAATAAAGTCTGTCTAAGTCTAAATTATCTACTTTATTTCAGTAGATATTTCTGTATCTCTGCTTCTGTCTCCTTGAACCCCAGTGGGCCTCAGCAGATGGCCGCTCACACTGAGCCTGGTTCT